CTGCTGCTGCTGCTGCTACTGCTGCTGCTGCTGCTGCTGCGTTCACCACTCTCTCTTTCCACCACCTCAACTCGGCCGCGAAACGACTACTCGCTCGCTCTCTCTCTCTCTCTCTCTCTCCCTCTCCCTCTCCCTCTCCTCGCTCTTTTGCCCTTTACCTACTTACCCCTCTTTTCTATCTCTCTCTCTCTTTCTTTCTCGCGCTCTCACGCTACCTTTCTCGTTCTCTCTCTCTCTCTCTCTCTCTCTCTCTCTCTCTCTCAATCAACCCCCACCCCACCCCACCCCCACCGTTTCCTAGTTTATCTCTACCTTTCCCACTTTCTTTCTTCCTTTCCCTTCTCTTTTCTCCGATCGAGTTACCACTTGTAAAGATAACACCCAAACAATAACGCACACCTTTCCCCTTTTCTAACAATTGTTTACGTTCTATAACGTCTCTCTGTATCTGTATATAGTACGTTTATTATTTGTTCGATTTCGACGTTATTTCAACGTGTCTATTCACTATCCACTTAACGTCCACGTACGGTAGATGTATATACCCGTTTAAGCGTCGAGTGATTTATTCTCACCCCTTCTCAAAGAAAAAAAGAAGAGCGCGTAAGAAGCTTACATCCGATCAACACCGTAGACGAAGGAACGACTTGGTTCGTCGTCTCATCACGTCTCTCGTTTCGTCTCGTTGCGTCGCGTCGCGTCGCGTCGCGTTGCCTCGCCTTCACGTCGTCGAGTAAAACGGTCGTCGAACAACGTGTGTCCTCTTCTATTATCTGGCGCTCACTCGCGACGACGAGGACGACCCAACCGGCAGTCAATGCCGTTGTCTTTCTAATACAATATATATAGTGTATGTATATATATATATATATGTATATAAATATATATACTTATATATATGTATATATATATATATATCGTGTACGCGTGCGTGTATATATGGCACCGAGCAAGAAGACACTTCCCACCTCCTTCTTTTTCTTCTCTTCTTCTTCTCTTCCTGTACTTCCTCGAAGTGAGGTGAATAATCGTGAAAAAGCACTCGGTACTCAACGATACCCTATGTCCAACAACAACGAGACTCTACTTTTGTTTTCTCTTTATCTCTCTCTTTCTATCTCTCTATCTCTTTCTCTCTTTTCCTTTTATCTATTAAGTAAGGACGTCGACAATGACGATAATTACAACAACGATAACGAACTATCCTTATATATTTGTTTGCTCGTTCGTTCGTCCGTCTGTTCGCTTACTTGTTTGCTTGTTTGCTTGCTTACTTGCTCGCTCGCTCGTTCGTTCATTCATTCGTTTCTAACAACGAAGAACAAACGTTCCACCTTGGGCGAATGAAGATAAAGGATAGTCGAGTTATTCGAGAAGGCTCTCGCTGTAGTAGCAGCAGCAGCAGTAGCACCACCACCACCACCACCACCACCAGCACAACCACCACCTCCACCACCACCACCACCTCCACCACTGCCACCACCACCACCACCACCACCACCACCACCACCACCACCACCACCACCACTACCACCACCTCTCTTTCTTCCTCTTCTTCTTCTTCTTCCTCTTCTTCTTTTGCTTCTTCTTCTCTTCTTCTTCTTCTTCTTCTTTTTCTTCTTCTTCTTCTTCTTCTATATCTCGTTTCGCACCGTCTATCACTCTCGAGCGCGTATACTGAAGTTTCGTTTTTATTAGCCTATCGGGCTGCAGCACACCACCGATGACGACGGCGACGGCGGCGACGACGACGACGACGACGAGGACGACCGAAGGTCCCAACGACCATACCAGTGCTCCGCAGCAATCAATACGCAACAATGGACCGGGACCAATAAGCTCGAAGCTTTTCCTGACGTAGAGAGACGCACGCTCTCTCCCTCTTGCGAGTCGAGCTGAGTTTTCCCTCTCCTCCCTAACCCATCGTCACCCCCTACGATACACCGCATCCGCCAATCCTACATGCGGCCGATCAATTTCAAAAGCTCACCGCCGTGCGGCGCTTAACGTCAAGCCCGCCGAAAAACAAATTTTAACCCTTTTTACGTCGATAAAATTAAAAGAGATATCATTTTTCCAATATAATTTTCCATTTATCCAGATAAAAAATTTGATTAAGTAATTAATTTCAAATACTTACCATTTCGACGTTTATTTAATAAGATACGATCAAAATAATTTCTTAGAACGTAATGTCACGTAACATCGACGCTTGATCTTTATAATACGATTGTAATTATATATATATTCCTATCTCTTGATGTTATTTATCGATACTTAATCATTTCTAAATACGAATGTTTAAAGGACAAGCGTAAATAACGCGATGATCGAAGGAATAGTAAATTCTACTTTCATTATACTTTCAAACGTTATCGTGAATTACGTTCAATGACTTAATAATGAAATAGTGCTTTTTTTTTTAAAGGAATTCAAGCTGTGGCAAGCGAATTCGCAAATCTTTTATGCGTAATTGAAAATGGTAACGAGTTGTTGTTACATATTTTTTTTTTTTTTTTTTTTTTTTGTAAAGAATCGATGAATCCAGCGCCCTCTCGTAGCTTTCAAGGTTCAACGGCGACGGTGATAAAAAAGACACTCTACGATTACCGACCAACCAAACTGTTCGATCGATCAACGACACATATCTTTGAGAATAATTAAAGATTATATAAGATCATGCAAGATATGTAATGGAAAACGAGTTTTGCTAGTGGATCATAGATTTAACTTAAGTAAAGGAGAAGATATATCGTTTTGTAATCCTTTGAACGATACGATAGATCGTCGTCCATTATTTTTTTTTTTCTCTTCTATTAATACTGGTTTACTTTCCCTTATTATATATATATCGACGTGAAATAATATGTCAAAGTTATTAAAAGTTTTATTGATTTATTACGAAATTTTTGTTATAGATTAGGCAAATGTCATATCACCATCCTTCCTGCCGCAAAATAAAAAAAAAAGAAATGTTAGATATAACGATGACGCTTTGGTGCGCGAACCTATGCATTTTTCCTCTTTCTCTTTCTCTCTCCCTCTCTCTCTCTCTCTCTCTCTCTCTCGCATTCACTTATTCTCTTTCTCTTTCTCGAAGGTTCGTACACGAGGTCTTGCATCCATATAGGAAAGCTGAGCAGAAAAGGAAGAAACCAAAGGCAAGAACGTCGTTCGAACTATCGCGCGGTGTCCTTGACACCGAGGAAGTTGCAATGGCGTCGCCCCCGACACCCAATAAGATTTTAATATCTTCTATATGGTATTTGATTATAAGCCGGTCCGTATTTTGAATCGTCTAGTCCAGATGGATTGGCTGCTAGCGCACGTCTTATGGCCTCTGGAATTGGGGGTGGCGTTGGTAAATGAGCACCCTGAGGATGGAAGCCATTTTCATCTGCCACATAGTCCAATTGAATAGGTGTACCATCGGGTGCCGTGTATGAGAATCTACCCTGTACCGCCTACGATTATACGTCAAGGATATATTCTCGATCAAGGTCAAAATCCAATAAGATATCTCTTATCTTGAAAAATGTATTCGAAATTACCTCGGCTTGCTGTCCAGGTGCACCACCAGGCTTAGGACGACCTGTTTCCGATGCTGAAATTCCATTTTCTGTCTCGTAGCTCCAGTTGTACGAGCCGTCCGGGAAGGAATCACGTTGCTGACTACGAATCGCTATAAACCGACCACTGTATGGGCTGGAAAGAAAGAAATAAATGATCTTTACTTTTATTTATTTCATTCGATTTTACAAGACTTCATTCGATATTCGAGATCTCATTCGGCTACGAGAAATGTTTGATAATTTGATTTTAATAAATATTCAGTATAGAGAATCCTGATGTTACATAGTTATATTATACATCGAAAGTTAGTTTATATATCGAAAATATCACTCGATGAAAATAAAAGTTATAATATTATGACAAAAATCAAAACTATTACTTACTTGTATTCCGGTTGATACTGCGGCTGTTGATAACTAGGCTTTGGTGTTTGTGGAAAGAGATTTTGATTGAAACCTCTGAATCCTCCGTATTGCCCCAAGGCAGAGCCAACAAGAGCAAGGATCAGTATCTGCAATCACGAAAGATATAAAGTTAGAGTTAGATCGAAGGTAAATGATCGTAATTATAGTATGTCGAAGATTCTATGAACATGTACACATTCTTCTTCTTCTTCTTCTTCTTCTTCTTCTTCGAGAGAGAGAGAGAGAGAGAGAGAGAGAGAGATAGAGAGAGAGAGAGACAAACAGATAGACAGACAGACAAAGACAGAAAGAGAAAGTGAAAGAAAAAGAACATGTCAGTTTGAAGACACTCACTGTGTACTGCATGACGATGATGATTCTCCAAGGATCGTGATGCCGATTTGAAGAGTATCGAATCTGTGGCACAAACTACGAATACCGCTGGCATTTATATGTATGAAGACGCTCAAGATCTTCCCTTCTCTCTGCTCCTCTAGACCACATCGGTGTCCATTCTCCTCTCCTCTCAAGCACGCAAGTTGTTCTAAGCGCCCTCGCATCACCGCCCCACCTCAACCCCACGTTCGAGGTCACACGGATCCCGGAGTCACTTATACGTACATATGTTTTCAAAGCATTAACGTATCTTTATCATTTAAAACAAAATCAATGTTATCATGTAATATGATAACGAGTTAATACGATTATATCTAGGAAGAGAATGCGTAGCTGCTTTTATAAAAAATATAAATGAACAATATACTACTACGTGTATATTGACTATTTTAAAATGGAAAAAGGAAAAAGGTAATCAAAAAGACAAAGAGTTGAAACAAAATTTGAAACATATAAATGAAAGTTAAACTATTTAATAATAATAGTAAAATTATGACGTCTTGTCAACTTATAAAACCATCCACGAAGGTCTACAATTACCAACGATGATTTCATTCCTGATATATTCATAATTCGTTCTCTGTTTTTCGCCATCCAAAGGCGTAAACGCATTGTTCTTAGGTGAGACCACTCCCAGAGAGCATCACAAACTCTCATATCTACCTGCATCTGTACAGGACCGCTGTATGATCGTCTGCAAGTCGTAATATCTCTGACGTCTCGGCTTAAAGGTAGATCGTACGATCTGCGAGCATAGTCAAGTTAAAATACGATTATCGCGAGTTAGTTATACTCCTTTACCTATGGTAATATGATTATGTATGAATTCGATGAAACTAACTTTACTCTGAGAGATTTTTGCATAACTACGATAAAATTAAAACAACTCGACGACGTTCTTCTTGTATATATCGAGGTTCCGATCGAGCATTAATAATTGAGCTTGCGAAACACTTAGTAGTATAAGGAAGAAAGTCTCTGAAAATGATGAGAGAATATGCGAAAATAAAATGGGTACAAATATCATGTTACAATGCTTAATAAAGTCAACTGTTTTAATTTCTAATTGATGTAAATAAATATTTAACAAATGATTTTAATTATATCAAAATTTTCGACAACATTGTCTTTTATCGTTTATCATTTTATCGAACATTTTTTTCAAAGTATTCATGTTTATTCAACAATATTACGTCTCCATAGATCATTACGATTCTATAAGAAATATTTTGCGCTTATTATTTTAATGAGATATGAAAAGTTATGAAATCGATCATTCGATTTCATCGTGAATCGTCCCAATTTGGATAGGAACGAGAAGAGGGATTGACGGATTCAATCGATGGAAGGAAACCAAAGAAGAAGGCGGTACGTAAGGCAATTTAAGTTGGGCATTGAACGACTAGGCGCGGATCGGTTTGCATAATTCTCGAGTAGGATGCTCGCCTGGGAGGCCCCCGAAGGTATGCCTTCTATCCGCGTCTTGGTGAGTTCGAAAGCTCAGAGAGATGACGGGGCATACCTAAGTCAATGTGGTTAATAAAACTAGAAAGGTCAGACTCGGTTCAGATAATTCTCGAGACTCTGAGAGCATTCTGCGAGATCTAGAACCATCGTAGATGAGACAAAAGCCCGAGGAGAGATCCTTGCTGATCCCGACAAAGAGACTTCGGAGTTGAAAGATTTTCGATATCTCAGTTAAGAACATCTCATAAGTAAGATATAAATCGGTCATTAATTTGAACACGCATATTTCAAAGTATCTTCTTGATCATTGCAAACATTACGCGAAACGTCTAAAGGTGATTCACGTAAATATACTGAATTCCAGATGAAACGAGTATGTGGGACGAGTGTCTCGATATTCTCACGGTACTACTCGGGTATAAAATGGTGCATCTATAAATCAAGGATACTCCTGGAACTCTCGTGAAAGTATGTAGATACGTAGTTATCGAATTTCTGGCGATAAGTTTTACGAGCTTGATAGAACGCGATGTAATTTCTTGGATAACCATTGGCAAGATTCAAGATCATTGCCGACGCTCAATGATCTTGCTACTTCCTCTCTTTATTCTACTCATTGTCCACGAAGTTAAAGTGATCGTCTATCCTTCCTTTCTCTCTCTCTCTCTCTCTCTCTCTCTCTCTCTCTCTCTCTCTCTCTCTCACTGCTTTATCTCTGATCCTACTCTTTATTACTTCTAAGTGTTCTATCGAAACTAAACAACTCGTGACCCGGCAGTTGACTTTCCACCTAATGTAAAAGTAACGATTTCTATGACCGATCATCATCAGCATCATCATTATCATTATCATCATCATCATCGCAAAGGATCATCGCTATTCCACGCTGCCTCGTTCCCGTAACTCGGCGAATAAATCGTTAAAAGTTATTGTGCAATCGTTATGGCATTCTGGCCGACTCCTCTCTTTGTGCTCTGCCCTTCTTTTCTTTCCGGTCCGTGACGAAAGCGAAAGGAATTCATCTTAGAAGATCCACGCCCAGTGAGCCAAGCTGTCAGCAATACCTCGACTCTTCTCTTTGGTTCTACGTGCCAGGATTTGAACATCGTGATAATTGGAGCTTCGAAAGGTCACCTGTATCGACATATTGTGCATCTAAATGATTAATCGATGGATAATTCTACTTAACTCCTTCATTACCCCGCCAATTTGTCGTAAATCAATAGATATTAATCTATCGATCTATCTACCATCTTTCATAAGTTTTTTTTCTTGAATTTATTTAACTTCATTCTTGTTTTATTAATTTCAGATAAAACTGACACGATCGTATCTTCAGCATCCATCATTTTCGCAACAATTAATGTAAATAAAAAAAAAAAAAAAAAGAAAAAAAAATAAATAAATAAAAAAAGAACGAAAAAAGAAACAGACAAAGAAGTATTAAAATCACGAAAAGGCGTTGCGATCGGTCAACTTATCGTAATTTTCGTGACAGGATACGGCTCGCCCAGGTGTCCATCGATCTCCTTGACCGATATATCCCTCGTGCGCAAAGATCAAAACGCTTCACGATTGTATGCAAAATATCGATTTCGTCTATCGGCCGTTCTAACAATACCATCGAGCTGACAGCTCCTTCTGCTTCCTTTTCCATTGTGTCACAGAATGGAAAGCACTACGTGACATCCTGACCCCAATGTCAAAGGCGCGGTTTGACATCCCCGGTCAGTCAGCATACGTTTTCGTGAGAGACTGACTCGTGGTATGCACGTATGTACCACCCCTTACATCAGTCTTGCTAATTCCTTTATGCACATTTTTCCCTCTTGCTAATTCCTTTCACGATTTCATTTATCTTTGAATATATAAGATCTATGTTATTTATATGACATTTATAAAAATATATAAAATTAACAATAAGAATGAATGTTTCTTTCTTTTATTTATTTATTTATTTTTTTTTTTTCTTAACTTGTTAATATCTATAATAATTCATTTCTTTCATTCCTTTAATAGATAAATTATCAATCGATATGGAGTCTCACGAATGTCTATTATAATTAAATACCTCTTCAACCAAAATCTTAATTAATGTTAATTAATTTTTCCATTCACACTTTGATTTTAATCAAGAAATGTTAAAATATTCAAGGTTAAAGATTTAATCGCATTGTTGAGATAAAGATTAGCATCGACAAAATAGAATCGCAAAACCTGTAGTAGAAATATCTCGATGGTACTTTCAAACTTTCACGGCTTTCGTGAATGCCTCTTAAGAGGTGCCAGAAACGAAGTTCCAAGCTGTTCACGGTGAAAATGTTAAATCCTAGGATGAGCCAGAGTCGTCCATTCGTATCTATGTATATGGTCGACCATTCGGTTGGTCGGTCGGTCGGTTGGTTGGTTGGTTGGTTGGTTGGTCGTTGTGCAATGCAAAGAAGAGGCCGATGATTTGCTTTCACTGACTCACCTTTAAACGTGATATTACGATTACCATTAACATTAACACACGAATGGCATTTCGAGTTGGTTTCCTAAAATTTAACGCCTCCGTAATAACAACGATTTAATTGATAGCTGGATGAGACAGCTACCAGCAGATTGCTCGTTTATTAATCGGTCAAACTTGAGTTCTTAGCTGTAAGTGATAGGTATAGAAGATAGAGTTCAGTTTCAAATCGATTGCATGTATTTACCTTCGTTTAAAGACACAAGCGGTTACATTCTATTAAAAGAACAATAATAGCGCACGTTAATTCGACGTTTTATCGTCTAGATAAATCTGAAGCAGCTCTTCTCTAATCGTGAGTGATCTCCTCTTCGTATCGTATCCGGCAAACTCTTTCTCTCTCTTTCTCTCTCTATCTTTTTCTCTCTTATTTTCTCGCTATTTGGATTTCGTCAGCATTGATTATTTCATTGAAGAAAATTACATTAAACTTTTTCACGCCAGACCGATCACTTAAAGACAATTTCCTTTCTTTTTAACATCACGATTTGACGTTACGATAACATTGTCCTTTATCTTTCTAAAGAAATCTTTGATTCCATCAGATCATTATCTAAATACTTCTCGATGTGACTTTGCCTCTAACCGAGATTTCCCACTTGACTTTTCACACGAAACAAACTGACGAGTAAGTAGACATACTACGTACATAAAAATAGAGAGTATAAGAAGGAAAGAAAGAAAAGAGAAGAAGAAGAAGAGAGAGAGAGAGAGAGAGAGAGAGAGAGAGAGAGAGAGAAGAGCAATAAAGAGCATAATTTAAAACTTTAAATAAAGGCGAACCTCTTCGATCCTCCTCGCTCAATTTCTTTAATGTTCATCTTTATCTATCAACGTGGAGGATTGAATAAAAAGGATAGCTACATGTTTCAGATGTTATGGGCAGTTCCTTCTGGCTTTTATAGTTATATGTCTTGGCAAGCTAGCTGATTTGAAAAATGATATATCCACAAAGAAGAAGAAGAAGAAGAAGAAGAAGAAAAAGAATTAGACGATCATCTTCGTTGTCGATCACGAACGAATCGTTCTGATACTCGTGATACTCGTAAAATACGATAAGAATAATATAATGAAAGAAGAGAGAAAGAGAAAGAGAAAGAGAAAGAGAAAGAGAAAGAGAAAGAGAAATAGAAATAGAAAGAGAGAGAGAGAGAGAGGGAGAGAGAGAGACAGACAGAGATAAAGAGAGAAAGAAAAAGATAAAAGAGAGATCGAAAAAAATAGAGTCGTGTCTAATATCTTCTGTAAGGCTCCTCCTCCTCGGGATGAGCCGCGTTGTAGCTGAGGGCTCGTTGGATGGCAGGTGGAATGGGCGGTGGTGTAGGTAGGTGAGCACCGCTCGCTTGGAAGCCGTTTTCGTCTGCGATGTAAGTGACTAATATCGGTGTACCATCTGGTGCCGTGTAACTATATTGACCTCTGACCTCCTCGATTTGACCTGGACCAATGTTCTTTGGACGTCCTTGTTCCGCTACCGAGATCCCATTTTCGGTGTCGTAACTGATAAATATTTTCAATTTAGATCAAGAATCTTTTGTTTTATAGGTATGTGTAAGATTGTGGGTAAAAAAAAGTTGAGTTCCCAAGTTACGTCTAGGAATTTGAAACCGAGGTCTTTCCAGATGACTGCTTTGGATTATTAAATTATTCATACCTTTTAGATCCATCTACTTGCCAATGTCTATTTAAATTAAGAATCAAGATGCTCGTCTTTGAATATACGTATGTATATAGGTATGAACAGGATGTTAAGAATTGTTCAGCTTTGAGAATATGTATATTCTATTAATTATAAAAAAAAAAAAAAAAAAAGAAAAAAAAATAAAAAAAGAACAAGCAGAATTCTATTACCAAGAAAGACGATAATTACTGGAAATATCATAATAAGAATTTCTTAGAAACGGAACTATTATATTGACGATATGTCATATATACGATGATACAAATCTAAAGAAAAATAGACGTGATTATGTAAAACGGAGGAAATAGGTTTCTTCCGGATGTCGATGATAATTTTATTAGAAGAATAGATTCGGATTCTTCCGATGATTTTTATACGTAAAAAAGAAAAAAAAAAAAGAAAAGAAAGAAAAAAAAAAAGAAAATTGAGTCGACCTTGTGGAAAAGAAAGATGAAAGGGAAACAATTGTGAAAAGAAATGTAGGGCTTAAGAAGGACGAAGATAGAAAGTTAATGATAAAAGGAGAAAGAGAATTGTCGAGTTTCAGGAGCAAAAAGAGAGGTGTCGGGTAAATCTGTGAGGCGTCACACAACGCAGGTGTTATGGGAGGGGCTGAGAAGAGTTAGGTACGATCTTACGAAGACACACAGACAGCCAGTGTGCCCGAGGATGGGACGGAAGGTGGACAGGTAGGTAGGTAGATAGATAGGTAGGCAGATACGTAGGTAGGTAGGTCGATTGTAATTGTTCAATTGCGCAATCCGTTATTGCGAACTGCGCAAGCGATTAACATGGACGATTAACATCGAAGTCAATTAGCTATCTTTCTCGAGCGTGTGTATATACAACGATTCGGTGGCTGTATCACGATGTTGCTTCTTGTGTTTTACTAGGATTCCTTCATGATGAAGAGTTCAATCAGTTATCTATCATGAAATAAATCTGGTTAGGTGTATATATAATGATGTTGAAGAGTTTGGAAATAGAAAGATGGAGAAAGAGAGAGAGACAGACAGAGAAACGTTTCGTGTTCTTTTTTGTACTCAAAATTTCGTAGTCCAATCGTTCTCATTGTTTCGAAGGCCATTCATTCGTCGTGCTCATCGGAGCCGAAAATCGTGGCATGATCGGAAATAAAAATGGAGGCGAACGTGCTAACGAGCACGATTACATCTTCGACGCGTGACGAGGAGCTATAATATGTGCGAATTATGTCGGGTATATGTAGGTATATACGTAATTTCTAAAGGAAAGAGCAACCGAGATCCTTCGACCGTGTCGAGATCGCTCTCGAGGAAACGAAACAAACGGACGAACACCTCAGTGCCGTTTATCGATGGAAGGACGGTCTCACCTGTAGGAATAAGATCCATCTGGTGCTGTGTCTTTCGATTGTCGCAATATGGCGATATGTTTGCCGTAGTACTCGGGGTTGTATGGATATCTGTTGTATTGTGCATACGATACCACCGTTAGACCGAGTAACAGCACCTATAAACGTTCGAAATAAAAAAAGATTTCAAAAGTTTGTTAAATAGAAAATTCTGAAATTGTCATCGTGATAATAAAAATGTGCGACATATTACAAAAAATAAATTTAATAAATAATTTAAGCTTCTTAAAATATATATATATATATATATATATATATATATATATATATATTTATATTGCAAAAGATTCCAGTTTCAAATTCTGATATATTTGCGATATTTTTCTTTTTTAAAATTCAATTATAATGTCATCTTGGACGTATCTATAGGATTCATTCAATTAATTTCTTCGAATAAAACGCAGGACAAGCGTGAATAATCCGCGCGTTAGTCACGATCAAAAGGATGTTCCTAGAGAAAAGCAGGACACATGTGGGACGTTTGGAACGTTGAAAAGTTTCGATCTCTATGGAGACTCAGCGCGTTTATGAATAATAATAAGCATAACCAAGAACTACGCCTCACCCGCGGTTTCTTCACTCGCGGTCATACTGCAAATGAGTATGCGCGCGGCACGTGCCGCTACGGCGAGTCCTTTTGATATGCCAATTAGCCGCACGTCTTATGGCTTTAAACGATAGCTTTAAATAATGTTTTAACGATCTACCAAACCTTAAAAATTAGCATTGTTATTATTAATTACTATACCGATATCAATGTTCTCTCACGTTGATCTTTTATTAAGAGAGTTATGAAATAAAGTAAATCGATTGAAATTAACAGTTTAACAACGAGCTTACAACAACGTCCATTAAATCCTTTTTAATAAAAGCTTAATTAATATAAAACAAAAAAATTGCATTGATAAAAGCCAAAGCAGATGATAATCTCATTTCACTCACAAGGATCTTCATAGTGTCTTCGTAGATCCGTAAGAATTAACCGAATACGCGAGATCAAAATGTTGTTTAAAATGATAAATTGGTTAAATTAGATAGAAGCAAAATACTCAATTTCACGTTCACCGAAACGATGAAGAAAAGGATTATATGACACACACAGTGATTCTAGGCACTGCCGAAGCTTACAGTGGCCAGGTTGGTCATGATGAGGTTTTATAGTCGCCGTCGCATTCTCCTTCTGGACTACCATCCGCCCCGCCACAACGACAACGATGGTTAACGAGAGGTTGAAGGGGAGAATTAATCTTCGAAGCGTTCGTGTAATTCGAAGCAGTCGGTTGCATTTAAAAGATGGCACATTCCCTCCCTCCCACCCCTTCCTTTTCTTACTCGAGCTATTCCGTGGGTTGTACTCGCCCCTCCTGCGAATTCGAGAAGAAGATTCGCCTGACTTAACCTGACCTTTCGTGCCCGATACGATAATAATTATTACTTATACTCGAACTCCGTTCTTTGTATGCTCAGAATTTTTCGCGACGACTACTTTATTCTCATTTCTCTTTCTATTTATCTATCTATCTATCTATAAATGTGTATATATATATATATATATATCCATGTACGTATTACTTATACATATATATGTACGTACATAAGTATATTACGCGTACATTTGTATAAAAGATAAGGACACGTCGATGGTATGAAAGAATTTTGCTATCTCGTAAGATTATTGATTGGTAAATTATTCTCTTAATGTTATTCCCGTATACTTTTCAAATAATTTCATAATATAAACTATACCGAATATCTCTTCGTTTAAATATAAACGTTTATTTTATTTTATTTTATTTTTTTTTTTATGTTATGTTCATATATGTAAAACATCTTAATTATTAGTCAGGTTTCTTATGTCGAGAAAAAAAAAGAAAAATAGAAAATAAAAAAGTTTAATTGATATATAATTATTGATCATATAATGTCGATGCCTATCTGTTTTTCTTTTGTATATTCGTCTAATTAAGTGCATGTAATCGAATATGTTTAACAACACTCACGATAAATATGTGAGAGACTTGATTTTGGATGTGACGAGTTCGCATCTCATCAAATCGATCATTATCTCATACGTGTCTTGTAACATATCGAGGAAGATGACCTCGACATAAGATACAGATCGTTGAATTTACTATGGATCATCTTAGGGCGTATTCCTTTCACTGTTACAACTTGCCGAACGATTAACCTTATAACATTTCGCATTCATTTTGTCCTTTATATTAATGACAAGTATTGTTCAACTTTTTCACGTGAATGTGACAATCAGTTTTTCCAAATTTTATGCAGCCCATTGAAAATGTCATTTTATATTTTCACTGAACTAAAAATATTTCATTTTTTTTCCCGTAAACGTTTACCATTGACAAAACTTGTATTTCCGATAAATTTAATGATAATTCTAATTATATATTTTACATAATCATTATTATATTTATAGACTATTCGAATATACAATGTACTAGTTACATATTAAATCTAGTACTATAGAGTTAGAACTATAAGTCTAGAACTACAGAGATAGAGTTACCCGATCGATAAAACAAAGATCTACTACTACTGAACGATACGACTGATAAACTAAGATCCATTATTACAGGATAAATACCGAGAAGTTTAAATTAAAAAGTTTTTTTAGTGACGCTTCTCGAAATCTATGGCAAAAGGGAAAAAGCTTATGACTACATTACTGATATTTTATTCACGAATTGCTTAATACGTATCATAAATGGTAACTGTTTTGTTTCTGTGAAACTATTAATTGCCTGTTTAATTGAGTGCGTAAATTGATATTCAGATTTTTTGAAGCATCCCAAATGCAAAGGAATGTGCTTCATGATATTCAAATGGAGAAGCTACATTAACTCTTTCGGTCATTTTAATTAACTTCGGACAGATAATTCAATGGTAAAAATAAAGAAATACACTTTCAGTTGTTCATGTCCATGGATATAAGTTTTTGAGATATTGTAAAAAATTAAAAGAATTATCTTTCATATCTTGTAAACTAGAAATATTAAAATTTTGTAAATAATGTATAATATATTAGAAAGCATTCAGATAAGAAAAGATTTAAAAATCAGTCGGTAAACAAGAAATATACATTATCGACAACCGATAATACAAAAAATGTTTATTTTACCAACAGTCAGTAATATAGAAACTGAGATACATCGATACGATAAACACATGATGGGAATAAGATTTTCCGCTTGGGTTTTGTAGTTCATATTTTGTCCATACATGTCGCTGTAGTCACATACGCTTCCGGTGAATGGTATACACAGCGTTTATCGACTGTTTCAACAATAAATATTTAATTCGTTTCATAACTGTCAGAAGCGTTGACTCTCTCTGTTCACTTCTGCTGTACAGATGCCAATGTGTAAGATTTTCATCTAATATCAATAATTATAACATATTATTTATGTGATAAATTCTGTTATTAATAATGAAGGTGAAGATTTTAACAAGAAATCCGGACGAATATTTACGTGAAACCAAGCGTGATATTCATAAACGTACGTATAATTTGTGAACATAACCTCTATAATAGTATATTGTAGACAAAGCACGTGGTAAAAATTAATAAAAGAATACCTGTATATTTAGTTCCTAGGAATTATGATCCATCATTACATCCTTTTGAAGCGGCAAGAGAATATACAAGAGCTTTAAATGCGGTAAAATTGGATAAAATTTTTGCAAAGCCATTCATTGGTAATTTGGAAGGCCATAAAGATGGTATATCAGCTGTTTGTAAACATCCTATGCGTTTGTCGGTTCTTCTTAGTGGTGCTTTCGATGGAGAATTAAAAATATGGAATCTATCTAATAGAACATCGGAAAGATCTTTCTTAGCTCATGATGGTATACTTCGTGGTATTATATTTGTTCCAAGTGGACAACATTTCATAACTATAGGCGATGATAAAACCATAAAGACATGGAAAGCTGAAAAGCCATCATTTGGTGAAGAAGAAGAACCTGTTAATACTATTATTAGCAAAGTAAACAAATACAATTTATTTCAATTGATTATTTATTGTTATAATTATTATAATAATAAAATTAATTACAGACTCAATTAATTGGTATATCGCATCATCGAAGAGATCCAATTTTTGCAACTTGTGGAGATACTTGTCAACTTTGGGAAGAGACAAGGAATGAACCGATACGTACTTTCAAATGGGGTGTAGATAGTTTGCATGATGTTAAGTATAATCCTGTTGAAACAAATTTGTTAGGTGAGGCGATAGCAATATATATATATTTATATTTACAAAGAATATATTCGAATGATATTAATCAATGATATTAATTAATTATTTTTTAGCTGCTTGTTCTAGCGATCGTAGTATTATTTTATATGACGCTAGAGAAACAGGTCCATTAAGAAAAATTATAATGAGATTACAAACTAACAAACTTTCTTGGAATCCAATGGAAGCTGTCACTTTTACGTGTGCTAATGAGGATTATAAGTGAGAATTTTGAGTGATATTTAAAAATAGTTGAAGACATTTGAAATGTCTTATATTGTTATTCTGATATTTTGTTTTAATTTTTTCTTTTTTTTTTTTTATAGCTTATATACTTACGATATACGTACATTAAAGATACCAGTAAATGTACACATGGATCATGTAGGTGCCGTAATAGACGTTGATTATTCTCCAACTGGTAGAGAATTTGTTTCTGGTAGTTACGACAAATCTATTCGTATTTACGAAGTTAATAAAGGACATTCTCGAGAGGTTTATCACACGAAACGAATGCAAAGGATAACCAACGTGGCTTGGTCTCTTGACAATAAATATATAATTAGTGGTAGCGATGAAATGAATTTACGTGTATGGAAAGCTAGAGCCTCAGAAAAATTGGGTGTGGTATGTAATGATTTATAGTGTGTCATGATCTGTTCTTTTTTTTCTTTTTTTTTTTTTTTTCTCTCTACAAAATCAAAGTATATGTATAATTTTTATTTTTAAACAATAGCTTAAACCCAGGGAAAAAACGTCTTTGAATTATTGCAATGCATTGAAAGAAAAATTTGCGGCTCATCCACAAGTACGTCGTATTGCTAAGCATAGACAAGTGCCAAAACATATTTATAATGCCCAAGCTGAGATACGAACGATTCGTGAAAAGAGTAAACGAAAGTATGTGTTAGAGAATTTTAAAGTGATAATATTTATATTTATTTATTATAATTGCGATGATATTTTATCTTTTTTTTTTCGTGCATTACAGGGAGGCTAATAGACGTGCTCATTCAAAGAAAGGAACAGTACCATTCGTATCGGAAAGGGAAAAGCATATTGTACGTCAGGATGAATAAGGTATATGATTATTTTGTCCTACGATTTTTAAATATACATACATACACAAAAATGATTTTACTTTCGATTTCATTTTTATATATAAATGACAATAGCGTTAAGTTATAAGAAATATATACTCAAATTGTCTTAAAAGAGAGTAAATAATCATCTCTATTGTTTCCAGGAGATAGATATTTCTTTTAATTCATTATTTATTGCAATAAATAATTTTATTGAAATTATACAACGCATTGCTATAATGATTCGTAAATTCATTACAAATCTCAAGCATCGATTAATGTCTTGCTTAGTGTAGCTTACAGCGGTTTAATGATTTTTTTTGTCGATCGTTCGTGCGATTCTTTTGCAATTATTTAAATGTTGTTGATCAATTTGGCGATACGTAGGTCGTATATATTTTCGTTCGTCGAAACTTATTTTTTTATTTATAAATGAAAAAGAATTTCGATGAACAAATAATACGGAAAATATTATCGTTATATTACGCTCGTTTGCGTGTCAGGTCTCTTCGTTAGTAGATTAATTCTGCGCTTAAATTAATAATTTCGAATTGTTTGTTCGTTCGAACGATTAGATCAACAAGTTATAAGTGCTAGGCAATCGAATGAGATTATTTGCTTTTATTCAACCATAGTTTCGATAATGTATATAACGAATGTTTTTATTACAGACAATTACCTCATACGCCCATACTATATCCGCCCTTACAATTATTATAGTTATCGTTTCGGTACTCGTTGATGATCGATAAAAATGGAATTTATGTGTTTCCTTTTCTGGCGTACAAAAGATGGCACGCAATTTTGCTTTATTCTTCTTCTTCTTTTTTCTTTTTTTTTTTTCTTTTTTTGTAGTCCTCTCTTTTTATTTTTTTTTATTTTTTTTTTTTTATCGGTCGATATACACACACGTGCGCAATCATATATTTATAACACTAGCTACGCTCACAACTTCTGTACAAGACTAGGTTAGTCGAGCGATTAAAGTAGCACTATAATTGTGTCCTTCGATTCTAAATGTTCCTCTTTTTTTTTTCTTTTTTTTTCTTTTTTTTTTTTTACTCATTTTCTTTTTTATTTATTTAAATTACTTTTTTGCTTTTCCAACTACTTCACGACTATTCCATTCTCGTTTACTCGTTGCTCTCACTTTTACTCTCGTAATTAAATTATAAGATGCTTTGCGTAACGTTAATTATCATCTATATACATATAAACACATTTACATTAATTTGATAACGTACTATCGAGCCGCACGAACATCAATATGGCATGAATAACGAGCCACTTTCAGATCAATATCGAACTATTCGTTCATTTAACTTCTTCTTTTCCTTCCTTTTTATTTATTTATTTATTTATTTATTTATTTATTTTTTTATATTAAGAGAACACTCGAGTATGTTATCAAGTTACACACATCCATACATTATTATTAACTTAAACAAGTTATTTCAATAGTTCGATCAATCTTTCACCTTCGTTTTCTCATAAAGCGTACATCGTGTAGCATTAACTTTGATCAATATTCGAAATTCACTTTTTTGATTATAACGTTTGCTTGATCATTGAGTCTGCTTCGATAGCAAAAAAATTCAAAAACAAAATAATCGATTTTGACGTTGGAAGGGAACATTAAATTTGAATCAAAATCAAAAAAAAATGAAATTAACGTGTATAATTAGTATAGTAAATTTCAACGTTATCACTTTAAATTACTTGAGAAAATGTTTTTGAAATTTTAACAATCGAGACAGACGACAATTGGTTTTTAAGAGTTAGATCAACAACTTGTTGTCTTCTCTCATTGCATCGATTGACTTTTGATTCGCACGTTTCTGTGCTATTCCCTAAAATTATTTATAGTCTTATAGATTTTTATCACTATCGATGAACTCCGAACGTGAAATCGTAATTGTAAAGAATTTTGTCAATTACGTTTTAAATCACGTTCGATGTCATCTACCTTCATAATACTAACCTACTTTCATTGTGATATCACGTCCAATATTTTTTCATGATTTATCTTTCTCACAAATAAACACAATTTATCATTCGTCGTGATCTCGATTAAATCGTGTAGGTTTGTTTTTTTTTTCTTTTTTTTTTTTTTTTTTTTTTTTATACACAGATTTGCGTGAGTCTTTCCTTCTTAATAAACTTGCGGTTCGTTGATAGATCGACTCACAATGTTCATTCTTCCGCGTTATTATGAACGTATGAAACATGTTTACGTAATGCATGTTCCTCTTTTCCTAGACGTTCAGATCGGCCATCATTTTGCGAAAATCCGCGAGCGTGTTGTAATCCGGATCCGAGTCGATGTCCGCGAAATCCTTGTTCGAGTCGCTCTTCACGAAGCTGGGATTGTATCGGCTTAACGACAGTGGACATGGCAACAGCTCTGGCATTACGGAATGGTGGGTTATCAGGGCTGTCAGCGTTGTGAATTCTTTCGTAAAGCCCTGCAACAGACACGAAACGATGCTTTGTCTTTTACCCTTTAATACATTTACAGTACATTGTTGCACTCATATGGAAGCCGAGCGATAAGGCTACGTTCGTGTTTATAAGTGCATACATATATATATATACCAATGTATTACTTGATGAAAATAAAGTGCTCTATCATTTTCATTTTCTTTCGTTTTTATATAAATAGAACATATATTCAAATTTATTTCAATTCGAATTATCGAATTTGATTTGATTAGTTGTTGGATATATTGTTATTGATTTTAATTTATTTTTCATCTGTTCTTTTTTTTTTGTTTTCCATTCTTACAAACTTTTTCGTTTAATAAAGTGTTATATTAAAGCAAAATCTCTCTCTCTCTCTCTCTCTCTCTCTCTCCCCCATTTTATTTCTCTCTTTACACAAGAAAGTCGTGAGAGGATTTACCTTATTTACCTTACAGACTGGAGGGTAGTTAATCGTTATCGCGGGATACAATGTGCACATATACCTTTCGCGTGTGTCAAAATTATTAGGAGAAAGGAATACATTCGGTTCTCGCGACGTGTTTCTGCGAGAATGCAATTTCACGGAGAAAGAGAAGGGAGAGAGTTTTGATTTCCCCGCGGTACATCCAACAAAACTCATTCATACTGGTTTCGGGGATTATCAAAGTCCGCAGACCCATTTAATTTATCCCTACAAGGGAAGTTCGGCCATTTAAATAGTGATATTCGAGCGAGAAAATGTGCAAGAGAGAGAAAGAGAGAGAGAAAGAGAGAGAGAGAGAGAGAGAGAGAGAGAGAGCGTAGATGGTTTGTTCTTCTGTGGTATCGTCATTACGATATTTGCAAAACTCAGAGCATTACCTAATGCACGTTACTAACTTGTAAATGATTACGGTTATTTGTCTATCCGAAAATAACTATTCTGAAAATCGTTTCTAATTCTAAATAGGTATCTATACATATTCTGCTTACACGTATGTACATACAAAGTTTGTTAAAATTGAATTGGATATAATTACAAAATTTTATCGCACTTTTATGCACTTTTCATTTGCCCACAAATTATTTTTGAACAAATCTACAAACTACAATTTCTCAAAATCTACAATTGTTTCTTTTTTAAAAATTATTTGGGATGATTAAGCGTTATTATTTCAACTTCGTACATTCGACAAGAGATAAAGGGTATTGAAAAGGAAAAGAAGAAAAAAGAAAAAAAAAAAAAAGAAGTATCCAGTGAATTTTTTGACATCATCTTGTTTACGAATTTACAGAATATTTCTTTGAATTTACGTGGATGAGCGATTTAACGTGGCTAACTTTGCTTTTATATATAACAGCGAAAAGATGATGACTATTTGTGTCCTGAACGAATACAATAATATCTAGATTTTTTTTTTTTTTTTTTAACGAATTATATAGGTCAAAGTCGTGTATATTCTTTTCTAGAAATATAAATGCATCGACATTTAAAGAAATATGTATGTATTTTCTCCGTTTATGTATTATAATTATGTATATCCAATATATATGTGTAAGTGCGTCATCAGGGAATCCTATGTACAAAGTGACGCTTCGTTATCATTCTATTTCTCTCTCTTTCTCTCTCTCTCTCTCTCTCTCTCTCTGTCTCTGTTCCTCTCTGTCTCTCTCTCTCCTTCCACAATCGTAGTCGCCGTACTTTCTTTTTTTATGTATGCAGTCACGTGAATATAAATTTACGTTAATGAACGACTTTCGTTCATGGTAAATGTCCTTGGAGAAAAATCGATAAAAACAAACGGTATACGCATGCTGCAAAAGAAATCGTATTATTGCGAGTTTCAAGGTTTTCTATTTTCTCTTTCTTTCTCTCCTTCCCTTCCTCTCTCTTTTTTTCTCTTTCAAAAAGAAATAATGAACGTGAGGACTTGGGAATGTTATGAAGGCATAAACCTTGAAGACTCGTTTAACGAAACGGCCTTTAGACGGTGATAATGGATAAGGGATCCTAAAATAGTAACGCGTCGGAATGGTTAAGTGAAGAAAGCAAAGAAAAGAAGAATAGAAAGGTAGAAAAAGGAGAAGTTTGAAAAGCAAAAGGATAAAACGAGAAAAAGAGAGAGAAAGAGAGAGAGAGAGAGAGAGAGAAAAAGAGAGAGAGAGAAAAAGAGAGAGAGAGATTTACCTTAATTTTGTAGCCTTTGTTAGTTCGCATTATGAGATAATGGGCGATTCCGCTTGGTTGAAATTCACGCGGCACTCGGAGCGAAAGGGCGTAACATCCGGGTTTACTGGTGCTCTCTCGTACCATGAAGGCTCCTTCCGGCTCCTGACTCAACACTTCCAACGTTATTTCTCTGAAATCATAAATGGCCGGACCACCATGCACGAAGTATTAGCTAAGATTTCAGTGAAAATATAAATTCGTAATTATAGAAGTAATTGCCACGATGATCGTAATTTCATTCGATTTCTATTAATATAAGAATTTTTATCGAATCGATTGATCGATGTTATTGTTGATCTCCTTTTACGAATGATTTTATTTAAATATGTATTTAGATATGTTCGTTTGTGTCAATGATTAAAAAAAAAAAAAAGAAAGAAATCTCAAGTAATTGCTTATAATAAAATATTTAAATCAATTGATTTTATTTTGATTCTCTTAACGATAGATCACTTTAAGATGCTAACCTTGGTATGCCAGCTTGGAACCAAGGTGCTTTGCGTAATTCGGCTTCTTCGCTGCGATTATTCAAACTGTCCGTTCTTTCTGGCAAAGGCGGAGGTGTCGGTGTCGAGCCATGAGTACTCCCATCTGCTGGTACTGAACTACTTGAGGTACTAATTTGTGATCTTCTTTTCGATTTAAATTCCGTTTCCGTTCCCGAACTCGGCGAATTGTGTCCTATCCTGTAAGTAAAGTTCGTCCTTATATTTATTATATAGTTTATTAGACGTTCAACAATCGTATATTAAAATTATTTTCATATTATTATCAATTTAAAATATTTTATATAGCAGCAATATGAGATAAGATGATAAATAATAAAAAAGGAAGAGAATAAAAATATAAATTGTAGAATCAGCGAACCTGTTATTTTCAATATTAAAGTTTTTGGCAGTGATGGAAGCATTGATGGTGTTATCGATGGTCTCGGAAGGTTGTATCTTATTATAAGACGGTCTCGTCCCTTCAGAGTCGATAATCGCTTCGTTGATATAGCCACCGGAATGTGGCCTGTTTGAGGGGCTAGTTGGTGTGCTGCTACCGCTTACGAGGGGACAGCTGTCGTCTTCACCATTTAATCCGAGAACGTCGCGCCCACCGGTTAGGCCCATCGCCAGACGCTTTATCAGCGGTGGCTTGTCCGTCAGTCTCTTATACGAATTCAACTCCGTTGGTGAATTGCTCTCATCGCTACTCGGCGTACTTTGCTGCGAAATACTTTTCGGCTCATCCTCGTTCGTTATTGGACCGAGGACATTCGTAAAATTATGCGACGGCCGTAGACCCGGGATGGAATTTGGTGTCTGTTAAAAAAATCATTTTATTTCATTGCTTTTTTTTTTTCTTTGTTTCGTTTTTAAAAGGAAACACAATTATTAAGTGTTTTTGTTATTGCAATAAAATTAGAGAATAAAATATATAACTCATAACACATTATATATATATATATATATATATATATATATATATATATATGTATATATTGTATGTATAGCTATATATTATGCATAAACTGGCTTATCATAATCTGTTAAAAGTCAATATTTAACGACGAGTAAGTAAATGAAAAACATGAAAATTTATTTGTAATTAAGTAATATTATTGGACAAAAGTGTAAATATTTTATAGCATTAAATCGTCGTAAAACATTTCTTCGATATTTTTTTTTTTTTTTTTTTATTAAGATAAGCATTCACTTTGTGAATTCATTCAATATGTAACGTGTATCTTCGTTCTTTTTTTTTCTTTTTCGAATAGCGAACGCTTTCCAGCCGTTATGAAAACGTCCAAGTATCAGCCAATAGTCATGTTCGGGGAAATCGTGACAGTGATACCCTTTGTTAGAAAGGAAATAGAGTACGCGCACCCACCTTTACGCTGGCTAGTCGCAACGTGGGCGAGCCGGCGCTGCCGAGCTGTACGTTCATGTCCGCTGCGGACGAACCGCTTCCACTTCTGGACGTGGGCGACGTCCGACTTTTCAGCCACGAATTCGAGGACGAATTCCTGCAACCGCCTCCGCTCCCGGCGATCGAACTGTCGCCGGACAAAGATTTGTTCTGTTGGTGAAAAAAATGTTCATATTAGAGAGAGAGAGAGAGAGAGAGAGAGAGAGAGAGAGAGAGAGAGAGAGAGAGAGAGAGAGAGAGAGAGAGGGGAATTCTTCGTTTACAGACAGATCGTTTATTTCTCTTTATCGTCGATAATTTCTAAACGTATAAATGAATATCATGTGACGAAACGTTGATTTAATCGACTTCGATAAAAGTTGAAGAAAATTATCTAGAGATTACTTTTTTTTTTTTTTTTTTATAAAAGATTAGAGGATCTATTTAAAAGGCGAAGTTTGTTTCATTAGATAATTATTTACAAAATCAATGATTCATTTTAATTTTAGACTTTAATTTCTTAATAATAAACTGTGCCTCTCAGTAAGCAACAGTTTTGGTTAAATTAGTTTTTCCGAAAGTATTCTCGTGCGAATGAGCTAAATCGAGTTTGAGAAAGTACGATGAGAGAGTATAAAAGAATGGGGATGGAAAAGGACGATTTTACAATGTTTCACGAGGAAATCAAGTCGGTGGTATGAATAATGAAAGACGCGAGGAAAATTTACGTGTCTCTGGGAAAATAGAAAAGTCCTTTATGAAAAAGGAAAAAGGCGTGAAAAAGAGTTGATAAATTTTTCAATGGCTGGACACGAGGAATACAATCGTCACTGTTTCGTCGTTGTCGTCGTTGTCTAGGAAGTTTACTACTTGCCAATCGCGAATTCGGGAAAATCTCAAAGGTAGATCAGAGAGAAGTCCTGATGTCTGTGGACTCAACATGTGCTCGTAAAACGAATACTTGAATATTCGAGGATCGTTTCAGAATCTGACGATTCCGTGGAAGATCTCCCGGAGAGAAGAACCGGATAGCCCGCGAGGAACGAACTGACCGTTTACTCAGAAACGCGACGCCGCCGTGGGACTCGGCTCGAATTTATAATTAACGCGGTGGCCTGTAAATGGGACACCTACTGGAGTCAGCAGTGCCGTCGTGTGTGTAAGAGAAAGAGAAAGAGAAAGAAAAAGAGAGAGAGAAAGAGAAAGAGAGAGAAATATAGTCAAGTATGCTTCGATCTTTATGAATAGACTCTCCTCTTATTAATAAACATATATATATATATATATATATATATATATATATATATGTTAGTATATATAATATGTAGATAGTTCATTGACACGATTGCTTGCTTATATGCACAAGTAAATATAACGTTTTAACTTAATATCATTGAAAAATTATTTGTTGAAGGCAAAAGGTAAAAGGAAAAGTTTCGATTTATCCTTTCGAATTTTGAAGCGGAAATAAGAAACGTCGAAGGGAAATAAAATGAAAAGAATTAAATAACCCACCCAGGAGGTTCGATGTTCCTGTTTGTCCTTGCGATAGTGTGGTGAGGATTGCGGCGAGATTACATCCTGAAGGATCGGTTGGCGCTGGAGCTGCGCCACGTACGCCATACGAAAAGCATTGCCGACTATGGTGTTCAATTCTTCCGCCTATAAATATAGAGAAATGAATAAAAATGAGTTAATGTTTTGTCCTAAGATTTGATTGCATGTAGAATGTATCATAATACGATACAAAATTAAAAGACATATTTTATTGTTTCAATTGTGGTAAAGGAGTATAATGTTGTATATATTGGACGAGTTTAATTTTAATAAAATAACTCTTCCTTTTTCTGGTTAAAGAATATTTATATCATTATTTATTCCGGATATATCATTTATCGATCTTAACGCGATGTTTACTAATATCGATACATACGTTTAATCTTGCCGCTTTTGAAACACTGCCGCGCTATCAAACTCCCGAGAGTCGATCTTTTCTCACTTTCGCTGTGTTAGCCCGACGACGACACGTTCAATAGCTTTTACGACGAAACCGCGTGATCAAACGTCACGAAGGGAATGTCTTCTAACAAATAAGATAATATCACGCAGTAGAGACAACAGAAAAAGAATAATCACGATCAAGCATATCAGATTTGGTCATGAGAAGCCGCACTTCTCATACTTCCCAGGAGTTGTTCGTTCCGCCGAAATATCCCATATCATTTGGCGATCGCTGTTATATTTGGCAGCGTCTCAATCGTCTCAGCGTTCTCCGTGACTTCGTCTAACTCATTCTCGCCTCGTTTTCCAATCTTTTCTCCAAAAAATTCCTGCTTTCGTCGCGTCACTTCTTTCATCGCGCAAGTTCTTGCTCAAAAAGCTCTTTCTTCCCATCTCTCACCGGGACACTTTCGTCTTGCACACGTCTATCGCGATCATTCCAGACGCATTCAAATTCTGCTTCTGGTTGTCCGATGGATCACTTTGCACGTTATTTGGTTCATGAAATCGACTGCTTGCCCAAGATCTGTTTCATTCGAACGTTTTATCAGATCATTCTTTGATCCAGTCCAAATTCTTCTATTTAACTCGAATATCTTGAGCTTTATCTTTGAGTTCTTGCATTGAAAATTTGGACGTGTTTCTCATAAGAATCATCTCACTTTCTATTCTTTCGTCAATTCACAGAGAGTACCAAACCCGTATCCAATTCTGTCGCACTCAGCGTTATCGCACTCACCGTTATCACACTCAGCGTCACTGTACTGTGTCCGTCAACGTCCGCCTCAGTCCAACTATCCGGGCTGAGTTCCCAAAAAATTGTAGGATCACGGATTTAATTTTAATAAAGTCACTTTTCCTCTTCTCTTCTGGTTAGAGAATGTATTTGCTATTTACTCCGGGTATATCATTTATCGATCTTTACGCGGGCTTTATAAATACCGATACCTACATATGTATTATATACTTATGCCGTTTTTAGAACTCTGCCGCGCTATCGAAATCCTGAGAATCGATCTTTTCTCTTTCGCTATATGGCCCGATGACATGTTCAAAAGCTTTCACAAAGAATACTCATGATAAACTGTAGCGAAGTGAATGTCTTCTGACAAACAAGATAATATTGGCCAGAGACAACAGGAAAAGCGTAAAAACGATTAGGCATATCAGATCTGGTTATAATTATATATTCTATAAAATATGCATATTTTTTTTTAAATTACTGAAAGAAATATCATGATAAAATATTGATTGTGTGAGTTACGCCGTCAACCTTAGCTCGGAAAATATTATTTATATCCAGGCGATTAACTTCCGATTTTACGAAATCTCTTAAATCAACATTATTTGAAAAAATAAGAGTTTAAAAAAAAAAGATGTTTACAGGATGCAATTAAATAATAAAAAAAAAAAAAAAAAAAAAAAAAAAAAGGAAAATACAAAAATTCACAATAATATGTGATCCTATGATTAGGAAAATATAATTTCGAGAGAAACGTTTAGAATTTGACAGTCATAAGGTAAGGTCGGTGAATGTTTTTTTAAAAAATTTAATTTTTCATTGTATTTTTTGTTGCGATTCATTGATGAGCGGTCTACCTAAAGTAAATATCGATCGAGTTCATCGCCGCAAAGACGACCGCTTAATTCGTATCGGCGACTCGATGGTTAGCACGGTTTGGTCCTCCGATCGGCCCACATCCGCTCGACGGACTAATCGATGCCGCGGCAGAGAATTTCAATTAATTAAGCGACCCTCTCGTACGACCCACCGCGCTCTTGCTCAGCGTCAAAGGCCAGACGCGAACTCCGAACGATGCGATTCGATGGTTAGATCGAATTGGAAAGGGAAACTTTGTACTTCCTATCTCTTCGAGTCTAGCAAATCGGTCATTTAATTTTCGTGCAGATCAGAGTTACCGCTCTCGAATACTTACTTTCCTCGAGTTCTTCTCGTGAGACTTCATGATTATTGATTTTATATATGATATCGATTAATTCAAAATATTTTATTTTAGTATATTATCGCATATATAAATTATTTATTTAATATATCGATGATTTTGAAATAATCGATATATAAAATCTATTAATACTTGTTAATATCTTTTTTTCTAGGATCGTTTTTATATTATATCTTAATTACATTTATAAAATTATAAGTCACAAACGTTAATCGACTTATAATTTTATTAATTTCTAAATAAAATTGATTAAAGCTCATCAAAAACATTAATACGATATTCGATTTGTTAATCATTGTATTTTGATCATTTTATTCTTCACTGTTATACGATCTAAAGTTTCGAAGACACTCGAATAACTTGAAACTCGTTGAGTCTATCTTATTACTTTTTCTCTCGTCTGGATTCTCGACGAATACTCGGATACTTTGGAATGTGAAAACTCCAAGGGACTATTTCACGAAAATAAAAGAAGAAGAAGAAAAAAAAAAGAAATATAAAAAGAGACCAATTGGTGATAGAGGAAAGGGAAGGCGTTAACGGAAGATAATCGATAATGGAAAATAAACCGCAGTGAGCATACTTTACGTGTGGGTAGAACAGCTTGAGAAGAGAGTTAAAGGAAGAAAAACGTAGATCGTCAGGAAACGGTAGAAAGTAAAGAGAAAAGCATGTAAGAGGATGGAGGTGAGAATGTATGTGAGAGAAAGAGAGAAAAACGAGGGAGAGAATCCTACCACTTCCGATAGTATCCGGTACTATAGTAGACTCTCCTACCAACCGGATATTCGAAATGGAGAAACGAACGTGAACACATAACGTAACTTCTCTCTCTCTTTCTCTCTCTCTCTCTCTCTCTCTCTCTCTCTCTTTCTGTCTAAGAATGTGATATTAGCATTTCAGTGGACTACGTAAAAGAAAATTAAGACAACGTAACTAATCGACACGAGTTTTCTAAACTTGAAAAATTTATTTTGATGCAGTGTGCTAAATTTGAAAAGAGACGTATATATGTTTAGTACGATTAGACGATTTTGAAGTATTTCATTCCGTCGTTAGATTTTCTTTTTATTCTTTTTCGAAAGAAAATCTCTTTATGATATTTATTAACTATTGTAAATTGTCATGATAATTAATTTTCTTAATTTCAAGTAAATTTCATATTAAACGAAAGGCAAACCGATAGGTATCGCGATATTAACAATAACTCGATCAAAATAGAAAGGATAATAGCTGTTTTATTTTCTAATCGCGTGATATAAACGCGGGAGTAATTAGAGTAGGTTGTCAGTAATCGTCATATCGTTGAATGGCATGTCTCGATGTATTTGGAATTCATTGGAAAATCCAATTTTGGTGAAGCGACGTCAAATATTACGGAAAAGGGAAGCGTGATGAAAAATAATAATGGTGGATATTTTTACGATGTAGATAATAATATTAATTTAATTGTTAGAATTTTAAAAATGATACTGTATACACGTTATTTTTAATATATATACATATATACATTGATCGCAACAAAGAATTGATCCTGGATCGCTATGATCTTTACTAAATTAATCGTTTCGTCTAATGTTCACGAAGTTTTGACATCAACTTTTAGAAGTTCCCATCAAAAGATGTCCAACAAAAAATGCTCAAGCAAGTTTCAACATCGTATTCGAACGAATGTTTAAGCTCGGCTACTTGGCATGGCTCGTTAAAAGTAAGACGGTGGATGACGGAAAGTATGGGGGTGGATGGGTGGTAGTAGTGGTATAGGCAGAAGAGAGATATCGAACTTAATAAAGTCACAGTGAATAAATTCGTTAACGAGGTTTCTTGCGAACTAGTTAGAAATTGTCGGAAAGTTTCGAAACTGGAGTGTTGTTCTTCGTCATTGGTTCGAGCATACACGATATAGCGAACTTTCGATACACGTACCTATATATATATATATATATATATATATATGTACTTACCGATACACAAGAAAGCAGTCTTTTGTTGACAGTTCTTGTTCGTAAGCATCGTTTTCATAATTGCATCGACTCTTGGAAAAACTTTGTAAGAATCGATATTTTCTCCTCTTTTTTCATATCGATAAACTTTCTAGCATGACGTTTATTCCAAACAATGGAATAACTTTGTTACGAAGAAACGACTATCTTATTACAAGATGCGATCCATTATAATTAAACGAATTTAAGAATAAGTACAACTACAATATAAAATAGAGAGAAAGAGGAAGAAAGAAAAAAAGGAAAAAAGAAAAAAAGAAAAAGAAAAAAGAAAATGGATCTTGTACATTTGATACTCGTTTTGAAATAATACGACTTTATGGATTTCTAATGTCCGTCGAGCATTGCCGTCTCGTTCTCGATTAAAATTGGTTTGTAAAATAGTGAAACATCTTTTTCCTTTATTAATAATTGTCGTACAAGTTAACACATTGTAATATAATTTGAATAAATTGTGAAATGTGATGTATAATATGCAGAATATATTTAGAGGGTATTTGAATCGTTATAATCTGTAAAACGAAACTCAATGTTCGTGAATATCCGAGAGATGATCCTATGTACGTTAACTGACGCGAGACAGCCTGATGAATACGCAACGCGGCTGGCTCAGGAATTATTTTAACTGTTCCGAAAATCCGATCAAATTAAAAGCCTCTGGGTAAACACGGTTTAATAAACTTTTAAACGATTC